AAAAATAGATTGAAAGGGAAAACAACCGTTAGGGTAGTAGAGTCTCACAACAAGTGCGCAATTGCGTAAGATCCTTGGCCATATCCTCTAGCGTTTACAATCAGATGTGCTCGAGATCCTTTGGTTTCCAACCCGGGAGTCAGGAACGTCCAATAACAGCCAGCTTCAATGTTGGCGCCTTAACGCATTGGATCCGTTTTACACTGGCCTCGTTGTCGTCGCTTCCACCCCAAGTTATCGATCACAAATAGGGCACGTCGTGCTATCCGCTGGGTAGACATGCGGAGCATATGCCCAAGCCAGCGAAGCTTTCACAGCGAAATGATGCTGTCAATCGGTCGGCGGGGTTTGTCAGATTTGAAGACTCGCCGACACACTTACTCATTACTGATGTGGTGCTGTTACGGAACACCAGCAATGCTTTGCAGGCAAAAGTGATCGAAAACAGATAGCCACTGAAGATCACTTTTGCGAACGGGCCAAGTCTCACAGCCGAACAGCAGAATCGCTGGTACCGCAGCATTGTAGACCCGCCCATTGAGAGTGAGGTTGTGGTCATGACGAAGCCACAGGCGACGAAGGTCAGCGAAGGCTACTCTAGCCTTGGAGACACGTAGGGAGATTGCATCGGTCAAACCGTCAATACGAAAACCACTCCCAAGTTAAAAGAATTTGTCGACCACTTCCAGCGGATGCCCCGAAAGAGTGAGAGAAGGAAATGCACTTCGCAAGTCCTGTAAAACGATCTTAGATTTGGAAGGGGTAAAGCTCAACCCAAATTGGGAGGCGGACCTATCCAGACTAAGTATCACATGCTGGGTGGCCTGGGAGGACTCAGAAATCACAGCGATGTCATCTGCGTAGTCACCAAGAAGTTCAACACCGCAGGACTCAGAGTTTTCCAAGGCAGTATCCAGGATCTCGTCCTTGGCAAAGTTGAACAACCCTGTTTAACACCGATAATGATAATGAAAGGGAGCGAAAAGTCTCCGCATACTCGCAAGCGGCCGATAGTTTGATGGTAAATGGAAAACCATCATACCGCCTGAAAATGAGCTCACATGAACAGTCGACCATGAGGCGAATATGACTCAGCGTCGTCTAACCCAAAGATAAAAGTAAGTGGAAATGTAGAGACCAAACTGGGCCGGTTGAACCGTGCTACGTCTCTCAAAGAGAACGCCATAATCAGTGAGTCAGGATGGTCGCGGCGAATGTAGGCAAGCCCTAATGAAAAAGGCGCTTGGGTAAAACGAACGATGAAACTTGCTGTGTGACTGGTTCACCCAGCCGCCTCAACAGAAAGAACTCGCACCGGCTCTGCACACAGACGCTCTATTCCCAAGTCTGGGGCAAAGTACAATTAGCTGGGCGTTTAAAAAACGCACTCGTCCACTCGATCGATTGCCTGTTCGACCGCACTGAGGCAGGCGATTCACTTCGCCCCAGCTTACAGTCACCATTACATTCCTTCGTTTTTCTTCTTTTATTATGTTGTTGCAATAAGCTCCGTACGGTTTTCCGCTGCGTGTACGCTTTCTGTCTCTGACTGAGGTTTCAGCAATCCTTTCTTGTTGCTGTTGTCGATCCTCGCTTGCGGAGTCCGTCCCTTACGTGCTTTGCTAATTTGCACCCGATTCCGTCTAATGATATTGCTCCCTAACCTGAGTTCGTAGCTCTTTCACCCCAGCGACTCTCAAGCACTCCCCTGCGCCAACGTTCTCCTGAATCTGGTATTGGTTGCACCCATGCTTCTTCCCCTACAGCTAAGGGTGGCAGGCATCTCGATCCACGGATCATAGCATTTCTTTTGTTTTCGCACTCTATTCCGTAGTCGGTTATGCACAGAAGCGTCCGGTGCTATCTCGGGCTGTAGCAACATTGTAGCGGCCGGTAGCAGCGTTCTTGTTCTGCGACTGAACAGTCGCTGCATCGGACTTACTCCGATCTCGGTAGACGGCTTGTTTCTTCTCTCCGATAGCATTGTGTAGGGATGCTCGTGGGTCGCCTTGGCTTTGGTAAGTACTTTCTTCGCCTCCTTTATCGCTGACTCATCCTTTCCATTTGATTGGCTATGGTAAGGGATGATGAGCCGATGCTGTAAATCCCACTTCTTGCTAAAAGCGGGGAATTCTGCACTATTGAATTGCGGCCCGTTGTCGGAAATCACCACCTCGGGGATTCCAAATCGAGCGAATTGACACCGTAACTTGTTCACTACGGCTTGCGCGCAGGTTGACGTAAGAGCATCAATCTCGAAGTAGTCATTGAAATAGTCGACCACAATCAAATAGCTATTCCCGTCGTGAACAAATATGTGCAATGCGACTATCTGCCAGAGAGTATCCGGAACGTCATGAAGCATCATTGGCTGCTTCGGCTGGCGCACATCGTGTGTCCTGCATGTTAAACAGTTTGATACGTAATCACGTACTTGGCTAGTCAATTCTGACCAGAACATCAGCTCACGTGCTCGTGTCACGCGATTGTTGATTCCCAAATGTGTAGTGTACCTTCTGCAGCACTGAACGTTGCAATGCCTTCGGAACCACTATCCTGTTGCCCTTGAATATTAATTCGTCTTGGGTGATGAGTTTGTCGCGAAAATGAAAGAACGGAGTTAACACTTTGGACAATTTTTCTTGTCTTCGGACCATCCGTCTATTATCGTCTGCCTCAGTAGCCTGCACGGTTCGTCCTCCTCCGTGCACCGTTGGAGCTGCTGCAAACGTTCCCTAGTGATCGCGATTAGATGTGTTGCGTGGACAAAAGCCGGATATTCTTCCAGTTGCAATGTGTCTGACAGGTGCATCCTTGACAACGTGTCCGCAATGTACATACGGGATCCTGGTCGGTAGACTATATTCAAGTCATACTTCTGCAGACGAATGAGCATCCGTTGCAGGCGGCGTGGAGCGACATCGAGTGGCTTACGAGCGATGGATACAAGTGGCTTGTGGTCAGTGAAGACAGTTGTTTTGCGGCCCAACGTACAATCGTGGAAGCGTTCTACGGCGTAAACCAGCACCCGCATTTCCTTTTCAATTTGTGCGCAAAAACACTCAGCCTCTGTGAGCTTGCGACTGCGAAAATCGACAGGCATATCGCGTTGCATAAGCACAGCACCGATGCGGTATCGGCTACCGCCACACTGAACCTCGAATGGAATCGACGGATCAAAGTAGGCAAGGACAGGGGCTTTTGTACTTAATTCCTGGCTGGCTTGCCGAACAACCTCATCGTGGTGCCAGCTGGGCGGTTCGGGATTTTCCCGTTCCAGTAAATGGTTCAGCGACAGTGTTCCAGGACATAGTGGGTTTTCGCCTGACAAACGTTCTCCCTATAAAAAGCCACATATGTCCGTTTAACAACACTGTGACGTGGCGGACGTGACTCGCCATTAAATCAAGTCATTGCCCCTTGCTTCATCCTGGCGAAGCATTGTATTCCAGCAACTTTATGCTGTAATTCTGAGGAGCATTGGGCACATGTTTGACAAATCAACAAACGAAAGGCATATGAACTGAGCAGTCAATAACCGGCTCCCAATGGGCACGATTCCCTGAATTCGCTCCGCTGCCTTGCGGGCAGGCTAAGCAGCCAAAGGCTCGAGGTGGTGTCCCCTAAGTCAACACCCTACTTCGGCTCAGGAAACCGGGTAGTATTTTGCCCTCTGACGAAACAATGGATTTCGATGTGTCGTGTTTTCTTTTATTAATTATGTACCTTGTTTTGAGTTCCATGGTTTCCGATGACTCAATGTCTATTCATGGACTGTTGCATATATATATATATATATATATATATATATATATATTATATGCACATGGCCGATCTAACAACGAGCGAAATGACCTTCCTTTGTGCACTTTATACAGATCTTGCCGCAAGCTAGACAACCCTCCTTCCGTCTTGGATGCTTCCGAGCACCAAAATGACAGCTGGCCTCTTGCCGCTCGGATGACAAAGATAGAGCTTCCTTGGTTTTCGATATTGTACAAAGTCCTTCTGTCGTGCTCGCGCGCAAATTCTGGAACTGTCGTAACGTTGTTGTTTCGCTAAGGCACATATCCACACTGATTTAGGGACAGGTTTTTCTGGCTCAGAAAGAGTCGTGTGAGGTCCTCATTTCCTATGCCGATTACGATGCGGTCGCGTACCAGTGAGTCCCGCATACAGTTAGAGAAGTTGCACATTCTCGCCAGAGCTTCCAATTCGGTAATGTAGGTCTCGACTGACTCATCCGGTAGGCAATGGCGACCAAAAATACAGATATCTTTGGTAGGTTTCATTTGCTTGACCTACGCAATAATCGCCAAATCTCTTGATTATCTCCTGCTCCTCCGCATCACTGCGATCCAGTCTCAAGTACTCGTCGGGCTTCGTCGCCAATAGCGTGTCTGAACATAGCAAATTGGTAAGGCATCGGATAGAAATCCAACTGAGTCAGTGTGACGAAATCCGTCCACTTCGTTTTCCACATTCTCCAGTTGTCAGGCAGCGTACTTTCCGTCATCTGTAGAGCAGTTGGTAGCGGGATCGACGGCTGTCCGCCAAGTGCGAGCGGTGTCCGACGCGTCAACTTCTTCTCCGCTGTCACCCATGTTTTGCGCCTGGTTCACTCAGCCGCGTCCACAAAAGGAACTCGCACCGGCTCTGCACATAAACGTTCTATTCCCAAGTCTGAGGCAAAATACACTTAGCTGGGTGTTTAAAAACTCAATCGTCCGCCCGATCGATCGCCTGATCGACCGCACTGAGTCAGACGATTCCCTTCGCCCTAGCCTTCAGTCAGCATCACAAAACTAACTACTTACATCCATAGTCCACTTGCCAGACAAAAGTAGCAAGGAGGAAAATACACTAGAACCATTCAATCACAAAAAATCGTTAGCTAATGTGTATAGTGTTAAAATACGTACGAACCCTAGGTAAAAAAATAACAACGATCAAACTAATGTCAGATGTTTGACACAATGACAGACAGGAGGGCACGCTACCTGCATTGAATATTCTCCCGAATCAGCCTATGTTTCGAGATCACTGAGGATATGTAATTGGCCGATATGAGTGGCAAGCGAATGCGTTTGAGCAGCTCTGGAAGGAGATCGACGCGACTCTGTGACGGCTTCGCTGTCGAATGAAGGCCGAAAGTGCTCCTAAGTAAAGATAAGCTCGGTTCCGAAAACCAGGAAGGTCGACAAGGAGAACAAGACAAGTGGCCGACCGGTGATGCGCCACGACTGTCGAGACACGGAGGATCATCGGTGATGGAAACCGAAGTTGCACCTTGTTTGTCTGCGGAGAGAGGGGCTTGTTCCAACATAAGCGGCTCGCTTTTGTGGGGTTTTTCCTCGTATTCCACCCATGCAATGACCAGTTCAAATAACCGCTCTTCGTTTGCCACACTCAATTCATCTGACTCCAGAAGAGTGAGCAGGTCGTTCCCATCAATCCTGAGAAAAGCCTCGTTCTGAGACACTGAGCCGAAGTGATCGAAAAGGTAGTTATCACATGCCAATGCCAGATGATTGCACATGAGGCTTCGTGCAAAGCTGCGCGCAGCCAGAACTGTGGACGGTGACAATCTGCGGGGTTGAAAGGAATAATGCGGGTCAAACAGAACGAAGTAAATGCAAACGAAAAGAGGAGCGCGAGCGGTGCAGTTAACAGACGACGAAAGGGCAATATGTGCCGTGCGAAGTAGCCGAACACAGGGAGAGAACGGAAACGGACTGAAATGCAAACAACCTACGATAAAAGATATCAGCTAGAAGACAGTTAAGCGAGATAGTAATGAAGTAGTAGTCTTGAAGCTAAGCTTGTAGCCGGAATCGTTGTCAACACTGCTGAAATGAGAAAAAGTGATTGGAACGTCCGTTACAATGACCTGTTCCGCCATGATAACTAGAATAAACGGTACTGGAAAACGAGATAAGGTGAACGAATGGAAAGATCAAGTCAAAATAGCGTAAGAATGCTACGATTGATAGATATGGTAACAGAAATGCGTCATCATTATCATCAAGAGCAGTAAGAAAATGACTTACTATGGTGCTTTTCTGTAATACAACCATACTCCGTTGTAACCAGACTGGATATTGGCGCAGTGTGGCGGTTTGCATACTTTTCACCCATGATTATACGAGGGTAGAGCAATAAGTTTCCGGGTGTACAAAAAGCCCTATTTTTAGCAAGAAAATAAGCATTACATCTTCACAAAATACTGTCCACCAGCGTTGATGCACAGTTCCATGTGTTCAAAAATTTTGAAAAGTAGATAGACCAAGCCGAAGAGCGCAACCCTTCAAGTAGCGCAGCAAAGACTGGAGATTTTGGAGACCCGCAGCAGATTCCATACATCATTCACTTGGCAATTTGGATCACAAGTTATACGGAACCAGGTGCGGACTGTAGGATAGGTGACCAACCTCCTGGATATTCTCTAGCCAGAAAATCTACGGCGGCATGAACTGTGTGCAGATGAGTTGTCCTGGTGCAGCAAGGTCCCTAGTGCTCGAGCCCTTGGACGAATCCTGGCTACAGCTTCCATCATCTGTGGCAGACAGAGGGTGGCGTACAAGTCTCCGGTGATTGTGTTGCCGTGAGATGGATACAGTAACCACACTCAGGTCTCATCACCACCGATGAGCTTCCAAACAGCATTGAAAAGTCCACCATCAAACCTGGTAAACATGGTGTTGCATCAATTCACTCCAGCTGTTTTCTGGTGCTCACTGAGCTGATAGGATACCCAACGTGCGCAAACCTTTTTGGGGCCGAGGTTCGAATGTTGGATGGTGCGGATTGATCCCGATGGCTTTCCTCAGTGGTAGCACAATCACCAGCGCGTCCTAATCCAGCATCGCTTGCACAGCAGCAATGTCGTAAGCTGTGGTGGCCGCCATAAAACGACCACATCGTGCCTCATCATCCAGGGACTGCCTACCATGCATGAATTCCGCAAACCACTCAAATATGGTGGTTCTTGACGGAGCATCACCACCAAACGCAACACGCAATCAATCAACACCCTGATGCTGCTTTAAACCACATTTCCAGTCATCGCCCTCCAGTGAGATCGACTTAAATACGTACAGTCAAAGTATAGCGACCATTATGACTTGCGAGCTGTGCTGGGCTGCTGATATAGGGTTCCGCGAGTGGAAATCACTGAGTAATGTTCATAATAGATTACAGTTCACACTTTTATTGCCAGGTCATCTGCACCAAATCTGTGTACTTCGTATCCGGAAACTTACTGCTCAGCCCTTGCACTTGGTGGTGGTATGGGGTAACTAGAGACCACTCCTACCAGATTGGTCAATCGCTAGCTCTCAGATAAACACGGTTTCCTGGGTCCTTCATATTAGAGAATAGAAATGGGATGGCGCCCATTTCTGTAAAACCGAATCGTTACCACAATCGCTGCCTCGTAGACAGGGTTTGGAGCCAGAGGCTTTGATGGAGAACCCTAATCGTTCTGATCTCTAAGTCTGGGCGACCTGGCCCTATTTCACCCCACTTACACCTTTGGTTATTTCTTCAGACATCAACCACATCCTGTATCGGCCGTCGCCCAGCTAATCAAAGGTCGCTTTATCTGTTGCATAGAGCAGGGCAGATGAGTGAAAACATGCTACTGCTAGCGTCCCCATTGCTTCTGTTTTGTCTGTTACTCTTAATTGTTTCCCATTAAAGCATACGTACCTTAACTTGACAGCAACCGCAATATCATTGGAGTCATACCATCTACAGCTACCTTTCAGCACCATTCACTGGACGCCTATCGACAACAGTCCCTTAGAAAAAGCCACGATGTCCCGTTGCACGTAAGTTATACACGCTGGTTATTGGCGTGTGTTGTGTGTCCAGAAACTAGGATCAATGACCCTAACGGAATTGTTGAATTACCTGCGCCCTGTTTGTCCGCTCGTTATTGGTTGCACGTATTCGGAGATGCGGATGCGGCAATCGCTGGTTCAAAGCTCCAAGGCCCAGTCATAGTCTGTTGACTACATTCCGGTGAACAGTCTTTTGTGTGCACTCCGTTTGACGATAGCAACTACGGTTAACTCAGGGAGTAGAACTGGTCGCTGTTAATTTATAGTCATCGCTTATGCACCCATGGACTGCAGTTCTGATGAGGTCAAGGACGCCTTTTTTCATGAAGCGAACGCGTTGCTTAGCGGCGTTGCCAGATCAGATATCATTGTTGTTGTAGGGAATGCGTAGGTAGTTCGCATGACCTCCTCGAAAACACAATTTGGTAGCAACTAGGAGCTCAACTACGAATGGACAGACAATTGTGAGTGTCTGTTCCGTTAAAGCACGGTGCACCGGTTGTTTCTAAGCAGCATCTCTTTTAGACACAGTGGGCGCCGAATAGCCACTTGGCGCTCTCCTGTAGCTGGCCAGCAATGGACCCAAATAGATCACGTTGCAGTAAGTTATAGGAGGCATGGTTCCATCCCGGACTGTCACTCGTTCTGGAATACGTGCGTTGACTATGACAATGCTTTGGTACGCTGCGGTTGTCCCGTGCACTTTCCCGAGAGGTGTACAAGCGCATCCTGCAATTGGCATGTTGAGCTGTCCAAGCTCTCGTCAAGCAAGACAACTAAGACGCACCGCGGACTGAACTTTCGACCTCTCAGTCCAGAAAAACCGAACTGCAAGGGAATAGGATCTCAACCACAAGGCACCATCAGGGGCATGTGCTCGAGCATGTGCCCGATGTACCTACAATGGAGCAACACAGATTTTCATCTCGCTCTCCGTTCGCAGTATTTAGTCACTGCACTAGACAATAGATATCTGAGTGATCGAGGAACCTGTGAGAATCCAGAATAAAACTCCCTGCTGGCTCTAAACATAATCTAACCAGACTGGCAAGTAGGCGCGAACTAAAGTGGAGTCTGCGTGCTTTTCAAACTGATCCTAATCACTTGTCCCAGGAACCCATGTGTCAGTGAGGGAGTCGAGAACAGTGTGGGCACCCTAATTCACAAACGATGACCGCGGTCGTGGTGTGCCAGTGTTGGGAGGAGCAACACCCAAATAGTTCCATTTCAGATACGATCAATGCGATCGAAATGACCGAGGTTTGCTTGAAAGTGAACCGAGGTCGCAATAGAGGTTGCGTGTCGCAACCCAATCGCACAGCAGGTTCCTTAAATGCAACTTTAAATCTTTCTGTACATACAAATACAGATTTCGGGGCTGATTTGCGATCAGCTCTGTTGTTGTTGACAACAGGCAACATCTGACAAATAGTGTGCGGCGTCCGAATATCTAATGAATGAGCCAGAAGGCATCTTGTGAACTGATTTGATAGCTAGAGTCCATTAAGTGCGATAACACTGTATTAGTCACATTCTTCTGCTCCCCGATTTACAGCCAACCTGGGCAATGTTGTCGAACCCTTAAGGACAGTCGCCTGGTCATTTTCTCATCACACGTTGCCTGGCAAGAGCAAGAGAAAATATGCACACGAAAGGAAATCTGCGAGGAAGGTATCCTGTCCTTGAGCTGCTGGTGTACAATTTGATCACGCACAGATGCGCAACAAACTATTGCCTCTCAGTAGTCAGTTCTGCTAACGTATTACTTTAAAATGGTAACGAAAGGCGCATCAACTACTTTACCGCGGAAACAGGTTTCAACCTTGGCAATAGCGACTCCCTGTGATTCTGGGTGATTTTTCAGGATGCCCATTACGCTCGAACACGCTGCGGAAGAAACAGCTCATCTGAAGGCGCGTCTTCTGTACAGATCTTCGCTGATTTCTCTGCTGGGCAATGGTACAGATTTCGTTTCTGATTTATTTGGACAAAACTAGAGAAGCTGAAATACATATTCCAGGTTGCCGTTCCATGCACTCTACTCCACAATGGCCCATTTGATACCCTGTAGATCTGGACATCTAAAAATGCGAAAGAGTCGTTACGTTCCAGCTCGACAGTGAATATTATGTCATTGTATGCTGAGTAGAATTGGTCCAGTAGATCATCCATGCACACTCGTGTCCGGGAAATAAAAATTTATACTACATATCGGCCATAATGCGCAAGGTTGTTAAAGGATCCGATTAACTGGTTGTTCTCAATTTCGATCACGAAAACGTCGGTGAGTAGCGGCCCTAGTGGTAAACACCGAGCCATCTCGTCTCTTTGACGACATTAAGTTCCGTTAAACCGGAATCAAATGGTGCTGGTGCATGTCAATAGTAAATGCTTCAGTCAGTCTTGTAGGATGCCGATGTAGATGTAGCGCAACTGGATAAACTCGCATGGATAATCCGTTGTCTGCCCTTCAAATGAGTATTGGTGAAAAGGGACACTACATGTAATGCAAACATCTTCCGCCCGATAAGCCATTCTGAGTCAAGTCAAAGGTGTCCTCGAGGTTGCATCTGATTAGAGATTATCTGACTGATTGTATTGGCTGGATGACGAAACACTCAAAACAAGCTTTGCACTAGCAACGGCTCCCGATATCGTCCCCGATAATTATTTCTTAAATAAGAGCAGTTTAGTTAGTCTGCCTCTCCTGGGCATCTTGCTTAGGTGGTGATGCCCGAAACTTG